CCTGACCAACCGCGGAGGAGTTGAAATGGATGAGTCCCCATCACCTGGAGCCAAAGTGGGTCATAAGATGGCAAAGGGGTAGGGGCTCTTGTCCTTAACTCTACTTCAGACCCAAGTCCCCTTCTTGTGAGTCCCATTTCAGGGCCTTGCTTCATCCCTCACCACCCCTATCTTCCTCCACCCACTCGTTCATAGACTGTGGCTGAAAGTCAACTGAGCCGCTTTGCTGGGGATTTTAGGGAAACTTTAAAGGAGGCTGACATCCAAAAGATTAACTTTTTTTCCCCTCCCCACTTCCTTCCTCCCGTCAGGGCAAAGACGGTGATCACCTGGAGCTTCAGCAGCCTTCTTGAAACTATAAGACAAACTAGAGACAGGAAGCCAGCGCTACGGATGACGGAGCTGGACAGTGGACGAGCCAATTGCCTGTTGATTCTCCCTGGACAAAGCCCTTCCTGCCTGAGAACGGTACAGTTGGGAGAACAGAACCCTTTAGCTGTGTGAGAGCAAGAAAGCTTGGCTCCCTGGGGAGCCACTGATATTTAGGAAATGTTCCCTTATGTCCAGCTGAATTGACAGGCGCCCCTGCAGCCCCCACACACTCGGCAAATTACTCAAGGATACATCTTCTGCCATGATGAACAAAATCCCTCTGTTTTAAACATGGTACATTTTCCAAGGGCAGAGGGGCAGGAGGGTCCCACCTCTCCTGTCCCAGAAGTCCTTGTTTGCATATATCAATCTGGAAAGTGAAAGATAGACAGGGAACCCAGGCTGGGTAAGATGCTCTCTCTCATCAGCACCTCAGTCTATGCTAAAGACAACCGGTTGAATCCTCTGAGGCCAGCTAATCATTGGTCCCCATCTCCTTCCTGTGAGCCAGCTTCCTTCAGACTGTCTTTTCTGTGAGCACTAGGATCCACCCAGAACCTGTGGGGAGCCCTGCCCTTGACACACCCCCAAATCTTAGCCGTGGTGCCAGAGGCAGAGAGGAGCCCTGAGGCTCCTGGCATAAGAGCAACTTATGGGGACCCGTGACCCCACCCACATGCATGCACATGTCACATCCACAATCCTCTAGCACGCCCAGGCCAGTCTCAGTTCTCGGAGCCTAAGCATTGCACGCAGGACAGACAGAGCACAAAGAGGGTCCCTTTCATAGGCTGCCACTGTGACAGTGCAAAGACCAAAATGACCCAGGCCACTTCTGGCCCCTGAGGGTGGGCATGTGGATGTGGCTTTTGAGACATGGCATAATTCAAAGCCCCCTTGGCACTGGTGAAGAAAGGCTGGTCTGTGCTCCGGTTTGGGTCTTTGGCGTAGCTTACTTAATGTTTTCAGTATGACTCATCTCCCATTTGTGATGATCTTCAAGTAACAGGGATCTAGAGAAGCTAAAGGATAACTGCCATTGCTTAGCCGGGAAGCATCTGTGCCAAATCCAGCTGTGCCACCGCCAGCAGGTCTGTGCCTAGCGAGCCTGGGTTTCCTGGCCTTTGGCCCCTGTGTGAACACAGGAAGCCCTCTGGGCTGCCTGCTCTTGCCCATTTTTCCTGTGCTGAATGGGAGAGTGGCTCCCTGGCACCTGTACATCTTCAAGGCAGCTGCTGTGTGGACTGTCCAGTGAGACAGTGAGTAAGGCAAGTGGCTGTCTCCTTCCTCTGGTCCTGGGGGTGGTCGTGGTGTTAAATAGAGAGTGCACCAAGTGACTAAAATGGGAACTGTCCTTTGGTAATGATGTTGACAATGAGGAGGAGGAGGACAGTGATAATCATAATGGTAAACGATGTCACCTAGAACCCAAGGTTTCCTGGGAGGACCGAGGAGCAGTGTCCATTTGCCTACTAAGTAAGCACAATGGTGAATGAAGAGCTCACCATGGATTGAAGCCTCAGGAGAGACCTTGCTTCAAGGGCAAGATCCATTCTTAATAGACTGTCACAGGGCAGTGGGGCCCAGGACAGATGTGATAGGCTAGTCTCATCTCTGTGGACACGGCTGTCCTGGTAACGGAATATCCTGGCAACTGGGATATGCATCCCAGAATCTTCCCAAGGCTCACAGCCATGGCATTCCCGTCCTTGCTTCCTGGTGAGGAAGACGGGACACCAGGGACTTCAAGATCTCACCAGCACCGCCCCAGACTCGAACACAGAGGTGGTATTGTAAAAACCTCTGCACAAAAGGTCATAGGGCAGGGATCCCACTATGATGAAGACCAGAGGTGGACAAGGCCACAAGCCACAGGTTCGTTCCAGGCGGAGCACACCACAAAGGTCTGGGCACTGTCGTGAAGTTAGGAGCACTTTCTGTTTGCAGTTAGCTGTCCCTTCCAAACGTGGTCTCGATTCCCGGCATGGCATGACCCCTGGGACTCCTGTCTGCAGCAACACTCAGCTCAGCAGTGTGGCAAGTGGGGGCCACGACAAAGCCACAAACCATGCGTGCTGTGTGTGTGTTCAGATGTGTGAACACAGACCTGCACCTGCCCTGGCACATGCACGCAGAGGTCAGAGGTCAGCTTCCAGTGTTAGCTATCACCCTTCGCCTTGTTTGAGATGGTGTGTCTTGCCTGCAGCCATGCACTCCAGGCCCTGCCCCCACCCCCACCCCATTTTGCCATGAGTACTGGGATCACAGACAAAGGTCACCATATCCAGCTTTACACGGGTCCCGGTGATCTGAACTCAGGTCCTGCCGCCTGTAATTCTAGCTCGTCACTGACCGCTGAGCCACCCCGTCGTCAGTGCACAAATCATGGTTTTGGCATTTGTTTTCATGTTTGTCCGTGGCCTTTTTCTTGACTTGTTCAACAGCTTTCTCCTGAGACCTGGCAGCCCATCTGAGGCTTGTCTCTCCCAGTAAATGGCAATCAGATGTCAGAATCCTCATGACTGCCTGACCTCCCCATGGCAGATCAAAATCGACGCCCCAAGGAACACAGTCCCAACGACACTCACAGGAGGTCTGGAGACACAGAACCCACAGACGGACGCACACCGGGGACCGGCACATGTGTGACATGGGAACCCATGATGGTGTGCCTGGCCCACAGACGTACTGTGTCACAGCTCTTGATCCCATGAGGTGGCATTTTTCCAGGTACTTGAACAGCTTACTTACTAAGCGAGCCAAACGGATGGGTCTCCGTAGGGATGGCGGGAAGTCTCTCCTGCTAAAGGGCCTGAGCTGGCACTATTGTTTTTAGCCTTAGGACAACTGCTTCCTAGGCTGGAATGGCAATGACTTCCTTTAAATGTGTTGTAGTTAACTATAAACCTGCAAACCTTCAGAGGGATTGGAAAATAAGGGGATCTGGCAATGGTGATGTTGCTGGAGTGCCCTCTCCACCCAGGCCCTTCTTTAAGCACCGGGCAAGTATTAACTCCATGGGCCCCTTGCACAGAGGACAATGATCTGGAAGACCAAGGTTTCCACAAGTTGGACCACAGGGCCTGGGGCCCAGTAGCCCCTCTTCAGAGGCTCCCCTCCAACCCTCTAATCTTGCTATCCAAGTTTTGTAGCCTCAGGGTGTGGCCCCTGAGAGCTGGGACCCACCCACAGTTATCTAAACACAGATAAACAGTCTTCAAGTAGACCCGCAGAGCTAGCTGGAGAAAGATTCAAACCCCTGCAGTGGCCTGTGAAGCATCCAGCAACCTCAGTGGGTTGCAGAAGCAGTATATACTTGCAGAAGCCGCCTTCCAAGTTCACACCTCACCTGATTCTCCCGATCCACCAAGGTGTGAACAGTCCACAAGGGGATGGGTACAGCTGTGGCTCTAGCCATCCTGGTCCTTCCTGAACACCAGAGTTCTCACTTAACAAACTCTATGCTCAACCAGAGACGGGACCTGAAACCATAACCATCGGCTCGAGGGCATGCTGAGAAAACCAAACACAGTGTTCCTGACAAGGGGACACATCCCTCAGCCAAGGGACCCCCTCAGGCACATCACAGGAGAAAGCTGGGAATTTCTGTCTGTCTCCTTCACACAGGGGCAGCCAATGCTGATTTCCACCAAAGACCAAGCTCCCTGCTGGGCCGGGTCAGCAAGCCAATGCTGATTTCCACCAAAGACCAAGCTCCCTGCTGGGCCGGGCCAGCAAGCCCATGCTATGCTCAGAGCGGATGAAGCCTCTCTCAGAGCTCATTCAGCTAGGGTGCTGACTCATTCTTAACCCGGGAAGCCCCACACACCCTAGGAAGTTGCTCAGAACAGGATCTGATCTTCCCTGCAGTCTCTCTGCCACTTTTAAGCAAGTTACCATTTTTCAGATTTGCTTAAAAAGAGGCATAACAGTTACTGTAACCGTTATTTGACAGGAGAAGTATAAGCTCATAAGAATAGTAACTATTCAGTGACCTCAGGCCCCTCCACACCCATCTCTTCAACCATCCCCCTCCTGGTTCCCGGCCTGTGGCTTTTCTTTCTGCCTTTAAGCATGATTTCCCACCTGGAGCATTAAGGGAACGGAAGGGATGTAAAATCTAGTCCTGAGGCCATTTGCACATGTTCGGAGAAAAGCCAAAATTCTGCCTCACTGCCGTATTTCTTGCCCTGCAGCTGGACAGCTCAGGCCTGGCTGCTTAGGTCAGTGGCCAGAAGCTGCCCAGGGGCTCTCTTTCTTCTGCTTCTCAAGAGTGGAAGCTAGTCCAACCTCGGTGCCCAGTTAACACAAACTCACCCGCCTCCATCTCCGACCTTCGCTTTGGCTTCTAGCTAGGAATCGGAAGCAGCTTCCTTCCCCGGGCCAGGCATCACTACATCCCAAGCTCTCCTCTGAGACAGCACAAGACACAGTTGGCATTCACAATGCACAGCTGAGAAACTCCTCCAGCGTCCCGCAGACACAGCAGAGGTGGGGTGGAGGCAGGGGGAGCCACTTTTCTGACATCACAGACCTCCAAAGTCTGGGAGAAGCAGTGTCTACCCCAGGACACGGCAGCTGTCACAGCTCTGAGGCGCACGCAGACATCATTGACAGAACGTACTCACCAGGGAGAAGCTGATGAATGGCTCCACCTTCCCAGCCACTGTGTGTGAAGATCCCAAGACATGCTCAGCTTGCCTGGAAAGTCACTTTGAAACTTAGAAAGCAGCCACTGTAAAGGCACTGAGTCCCCTCCATTCTCAGAGATGTCCACATGATTAAAAAGAAAAAAAAGAAAGAAAGAAAAGAAAAAGGCGCACACCTCAGCCCTCATTGTCACTGGAACCAGATGACTCATGCTGACTCAGAGGCACCACTTCCTCTCCCGACATTCTCTTCATACTTTGTGAGCAGGGCTGGTCTGATTCCCAGGGTCTCCACCACCCTTCCGGAAAGAGCAACTTCCCAGACCCTGGCTGTGAGAGGCTCCAGCTTACAGCCAGTGACCACCCATCCCAGGGAAGAGGAACTTGGTTTAGCAGACTCGGGAACAACAGAAAATAAAAGGCAGAGATCTCACAAGCAATTGTCAGAGGCACATGGATACTGTAACACGCTGGCTCTCTAAAACGCAGCTCACGGAAGAGGAAAGAATTCATCTTTGCCGTTTTGTTAGGGCATCTGGGTTTGCTTTGCCCTGATAACACCCATTTCCGTTCATGCTTTCTTCAGCACATAGTCCTGATCTAAAGCCATGGTGCATTTGAGCTGCTTGTGAGGAGCATGTGTGTCCTGAGCATGTGAAGACCTCAGGGACTCGGGCTGCAGAGATAGGCTAGAGTACCGAGGGAGGAAATCAAAGTTTTGGCTCTCTAACTTTTAAAAACTACTGAACGTTTCTGTGCAAGAACCAAGAGCCCGCCTCTAAGTCTGAGTTTTCTTTTGAATGATGCAGAGGGCGGGGCTATCTCCCGCAGCCTTGAGCATTTTTAAATTACGAGAAGTACCCCAGAGAAAGCGGAATCCACGTACCACTGAGCAGCCTCTGGTGAGACCAGGTAGGGTTGTTGATCTCTCTATGCTCTGTCCCGCAGAGAAAACGTGCTGTCCAAAGTGAAATCTTCCTGAATAAAAATAGAAAAATACATAATTTAAAAAAAAAAAGGCATGGGTCTCACTTTTGAACTGTGCATTCTAGCATAACTCAGGTCCTCTGGAAGAGCAGTCTTTGCTCCTAACTGCTGAGCCATCTCTCCAGCACCCCCCCTCGCTGGCCCCCCAGACTGTCTTGAACACATGCAGGTTAGGGAAGTGCAGGCAGGGAAGAGAGAGGATTCGGTAGCACAGAGGCAGGAGTAGAAACCCATCCACAGCCTAAGGCAGTGTTTCTCAACCTGTGGGTGGAGACCCTCGTGGGGAGGGGGGGTCAAACAACCCTTTCATAATGGTTGCCCAAGACCACTGGAAAACACAAATATTAATATCACTATTCATAACAGTAACAAAATCGCAGTTACAAAATAGCAAGGAAAATAATTTCATGGTTGGGGATCACCATAGCAAGAGGAACTGTGTTAAAGTGCGGAAGCATTAGGAAGGTTGAGAACCGCTGGCCTAACGGGATGGACTACTTGGCCTTGGAAACAGCTTGCAAGGAGATTTTCCTTCAAAGCCTCCAAATACCAGCGCAGCCCGTCCGGGACTCCAGTGCTGTGTGAGCGGACCTCTAGTACAGTCTGCCCAGACTTCTGAGATTGCTAAATGTGAAAGGAGAGGCTTTTCAGTATAAACCACTCCCTTTGGGCAATCAATTCCATATCCTTAGAGGACCAGTACACTTGGCCCATTTGCAAAATCCAGAAAATAGTAGTTCCTTCCTTTTAGGATAGTATGGAAACCAAAGCTAACGGCAGGGCCTGTAACAGTAGTGAGCTTCCTCTGGTCTCTCGCACCACCCAGCAGGTCAAAGCTGATATCTGATGATACGTGTGGTTTATTGTTGGAAAGTTTTCCTGCCGGTATAGTAGTTGAGTCACAGGCCACAATCAAGAGTCTAGAATTCAGATAGATGAATCGCACACTAAATGTGTAACAGCTTTTCAAACCGAGGGCCTGTGATCAAATGTATGACCATAAGCTGTTATTTAAACAATGCAGACCGTAGTAAAGACAATGATAGTATATGGAGCACAAAGGACGGGAAGGGTGGAGCTCAACCATTCACAGAGAGTCTACAGATGTGCTCCAGATGCCAACCTCTGATGCAGGGTCTTGGGAAAACAGCAAGGTTTAAAAAAAAAAAAAAAAAGGTCCCTGTTCTCAGGAAGCTTCTATTCTCAAGGGATGGGACAGAAAATAGGAACACAGGAAGAACTCCAGATTGTGACATGAACTGTATGAAGAATTGCTAGCTAGTGTAAAGTCCTTGAGAAGAGTGGGCTGTTGAGACAGGGGTGGGGCCGGGGAAGGAGGGAGGGAAGGGGGTGGGATTTCGTGGCTGGTGTAATAAGAAAGCAGGGGGCGGGGCGGCGTGGATGGATGGAACCAGAGAGGGGAATGGTCTGGTTGGAATTTTCCAAGGACAACCCTTGCTGAAAGTGGAGCACAAGGAAGTCTAGTCAGCCCCACTTTGGTCTGGTGGTAGTGAGGGGAGCTGAGCAAGGTCATGCTGACAGAGGTGTGGGATGGATCCGGTAGGGCAATGGTAGGTACAGATTGTTCCAGAAGAACTCCCGGGATCAATTTTTGGGCTGAGCAGTAAAGAGGTGCCACCTGCTAAGATGGGACGGTTGAGGGAGGAGACAGTCCCAGTGAGGAAGAAATCATAAACAAACGTGTTCTCTGTTCTGAGCTACTGTTTGGCTGTGCCTAAAAGCCAACACATGGAAATGCTCATAAAGATGTCGGTAGATATTAAATGCTGGGAGATGGCCTGTATTCAAAACGGATTGGAGAGGTAACGATCTAGAGGTGGGACCAAAGGCCTGGCCGGGATGGGAAAGATGCAAGAGATGAGAGGTGAGAGATGAGCGAGGCAGTTTGGACCCTTGGCCCGCGAGCCTGGAGACAACCAAGAAAACCAGGGCTCCCAGCCAATGGCTGGAGGTTTCAGGAAGGCAGAAGTGGCTGGCTGGCCAGGACTGCAGGGAGTTCCCGTCAGACGGAAGCAGGACAGGGCATGCAGGGCAGGGCACAGGAGGTCACGGTGACCAGGCACCTGGCAGCCAGGGCTGGGAACGGGGTAAACTCAGCCAAAGGAACGGAGTCAGATCCAAAGGCAGCACCCTCCAACAGGGCACAAGGAAGTGGCTATGTGGCACTTTGAGGGCTCAGCCAGAACAGTGATATCAATTAAATGACAGAAGCTGGGCAAGGGGTACGTGTCTATAACCCCAGTACTCTGGAGAGAAAGGCAAGAGGATTATGAGTTCAAGACCAGCCTAGACTACGTAGTGAGACTCTTGTCTTAATTAAATACCCCGTCCCTGAATTTAGATGTCGTGGCTACCTGTGTCTGTGTCACTAGGGCTCCCGTTGGCCTGTGGATGGAGAAGACACAAGGTGTGAAGTTAGGTGCTCACTAGCACCCAGGACACTATCACTGGTCAGTGTCCCATCCTTTCCCTCAGTCCTACAGACACCGTAGCTGTAGTCCCAGGTCACGTTCAGATCAGCTGTTTCTGGTTCAGTGAGGCAGGCAGTACTTTTGAAGTTTAACAGGAAAAACTTAAAAGTAACGCTGTTATTAATTGCCAAGGCAGTTGTAATTCTTACTTGGAACAGACAGAAGAGCATGTGAAATGACTTCTTTCTGTTATAAACACTATCTGATAACACCAATGTCATTTCCTATGATGTGATGTAATTACCAAGTTTCACGGGCTAATATGTCAAAAAAAAATAAATAAATAAAAGTATTTAAAACCTGCTTGGTCGGATGCAGACTGCCATGGAGTAGGAAAAAGCCTATTTTCTGAGAGACTATCTTGATTGATGGACAAGTCGTGTTGTTGATAGCAGTGTTAGCATCTTAATTTTCAATTCTCATCATTCATCATGCCCTGACGTCACTCTCAAACACTGTGAATATATACCTATCCCAGGCACTCTCCATCAGCTTTAACTGGACTGAGAAGAAATCACACTCCCTGAGGGTGGCTGGTGGGTGGCTGGATTTCATCCAGTCTGAACTAAGTTGGGGATCTTATCTAACTGAGGCTGATTCCAGGCCTGAGAAGAGGTTCCCAGGAGAGCACTGTGGTCCCTGAGAATCACCCCACCCTTCTCAGACCCAGCCCTGCCTTCCAGGCATAGAAGCCTCCACTGATGCGCTTCCTGCTCACCGGCCAGGCCTGACTGCCTTCCCTGACCTGCTTCTTTCACTTTTGCAGTGACACAAAGCCACGGCTCGGCCAGACCACTCTCTGCGTTCACATCTGCACAGCATCTGGAGTCCAGGTGTGGTGGAAGTCGAAGGGGTTGTCCTTGAGTCTGACAGACTAGGGTTTGGAACTGGCTTCCCAGCTCAGTGGCCTGGAAGACATGCCTGTCCTGAGGCTTCCTGCCCACATTTATAAATGGTGAAAAGCCACAGTCCTGAACCCCTCCCCCCCACACTGCAGCATTCAATGAGGGGGCTCCCCTGGTCAGCACCAGCAAGTGCAGGTCATTATCGAGGCTATGTGATACTTTTGTCTAATACCACCCCTTCCTGGGCCCCTCCCCTTCCTGTCTCCCTCCTGTACCTGGCACTCCAAACCACCTCTTCTTAAGTCGGCCTGCCCAGGGGTGAACAAGGGTAATGGTAACTTAGGTTAGAGAGAAACCTGACATTGACTGTGTGGGCTGGTGGGGCAGCCCCAAACTATGACTAGGCTATCAGGCACTTGGGTTTCTGGTCTGCCATCTGGAACTTGACTTTCTTTAGATGACTCCACAGACCAAAATGGTCGCTGAGACGCCAGCCAGCAAATCTATATTGTTCATCTTGACAGTAGGAGGAGGTGAGGTTCTGTAGTCTCTCCATTAGGAGAGAAGGAAGAAGTGAGGGAGGACAAGAAAAGCAAAAGAAAAAAAAAAGTGTGACATCATTCCTATCCTCACTGCCATGGAGCTTTGCTGAAGCCGCTACTTGGTAAATTAAATTTCTCCATGAACTGAAGCAGGTCTCTCCATCTCTCCTGGCTACTAGACGTAGACTTTCCTCTGGGCAGGTCACCAGAAATATAGCAGGGCTTTTAGGTAAGCAGGGCAAAGAGAAGGTGTATCTGTTCCTAGCCAGCAGTATCGGCCGTGGCCTGGGACACAGGGTAGCCATCAGTGCCCTCCCGTGGGATCTGATGCAGGACACTGCAAAAGAGGACGCAGCCTCACCACACAGAAGACAGCAGCACCAGCTGAGGGAGGCAAAGGGTGAGCCCAGGAGGGAAGCTGCCCAGGGCTCTGGCTAGGGAGAACCCTTGTCACCTCTGACCCAAGTACATTTACATGGCGGCTCATTTGTGCTGACTCAGCGTCCGTGATGCCAGCCGCTTGTGGTAATGAATAGGCTAAGGTCATAACTGATGATCGTGACACTCGGGAGACACTGGGGGCCGTTTCCTGCTCTCTGCAGCCGCTGCCTCCTCGGAGGGTCTCAAAAGCACCATCTTTGCCTGAAGTCTTCCCGCCCCCCTCCATCAATGCCTCTTTTATTCTCTCCCTCCAAGAAACCCTGTTCAGTCCTGAAGCCCTGACTTCCCAGTTTCCTCTTCTATACAAATTCCCTCAACTCTTGATCCTTGGTGACTTAATGAGCTCCCTCTTTTACTGTAATCCTCTCTACCCCGCCCCTGCCACACCAGACCAGAGGACCC